GTCGTTCATCGATGAAGAAGGAAGGTTTCCACTAAATGAGTGTGTCTGAGTGGGTTCTGTCCTTAGTGAACCATGGAAATGTATTCCTGACTTTTTCGTTGCTTCCTTCCCTTCCTCAACCCATTAAATTCGTGCTGCATCACCCTCCGAGTCTGCCTGGCCTTCTTTGCTCTCCCAGCCCCTTTTCCAGTGCCTTTGGAAGTCCCCACTTCCAGAAAACACCACGCAAATAATTTCAAAGGAGAAGGAGTCAGATTCTGGTGGTGGAAAATGTTTAAACCCGAGCCTGAGACCCCTTATTAAAGGCAGAAAGGGACCCTGCAATGGGTGCCTCCTGCTGGGACATAAACAGGGAAATTTTAAAGATGTGATACTTGGGAAAAGTGTTTTAAAAGAAGGGAGCACATCTGAGGTTTCTCAGGGAAATGTGGAGGGAGACAAGCAGCAATTGGGGCATCCTTTTTTGGGATGCAGCATCTCCTGGCAGCTGAGCTCAGCCCCTGGTGAGTCGGGGAGGGGAAGCACAGAAGGATGGGGAGTGTTTCTCCCTTTGGAATTTGCTGGGTTGGGAAGCAAGTCTGGGACAGAGAGATTAAAGGACTAAAATTTAAAGAATTTTTAGTTCCAACCCTCTCTTTAGGGTGTTTTAAGACAAAGCTGAGCTTTATCAGGCGCAGCTTTGCTCCTCTTGGACTGGGACGAAAGGTGTGGTTTAGACACCCTGAAGGAAGAAGGTTTGGAAAACTTCCCCTGAGGGCTCCAGATGACTCAACCTCCTGTCACCCCTTAAAACTCCTGACATCTCTGAAAAGTCTCGCTTGGAGTCTTTGTCTGCCTGTCCAGAATGAGGCTGAGCTGTAATTAAAGATGCTGATGAGGTTCTGCCAACTGCAGTCATTAGTGGAATGAAATTAAAGGAGGTAAATGAAAGAATTAATAATTTTAAAGAGGAGGTTTTTTTTTAATAAACACCAGAAGACAGTGGAAAGCTGGCAGTTTGATGTTCTATTACAGGACGAGCTTGGTCTGGATTAAATGTTCAATTTAATATTTTTTGCCATCTCAACTGAAGCTATTCCCTGATCAAAGGTGATGAATTCCAAAAAGTCCAATGGCTCCAAAGGGCTGTGACTGAGGCACTGCTGAGAAGGTGCCTTGGACAGGTTCAGGTGGATATTTCTCATAGCAAAATTAATTTCCTTACCCTTGTAGTTCCCTTCTCATTAATTGAACCAAATCCTTTCCCAGATTGCAAAAAAAACTCCCCTCAAAGTTGGGATGTTTCCTCCAAGCATTCAGAAATCACATCAGAATAAAATATGACCCTCAGGTACCACTTCCCCCCTTCATTCCTGTCCCAAACGGCCTTTTTGGGTTAAAACTTGGTGTGGCAACCAGTAAAGCGCAATTCTGAGGATAAAAGGGAAATCTGGGTGGGTTTGCAGCCAGTTAGAAAGTGATTTATTCACTGCTGCAGAAAATTAATGGGAATATTGTGTTGGAATGTTTTCCGCAGGGAAGGATTTCTCCTGAAGACCTTGGTCCCACAGAAATAAAAAATACCAATATTTTTGGCAGAAATACTTGTTGTCAGCGAAAATCCCTTTCAGCACCAAATCCTGCAGAGCTGAGGCCAGAGCTGCAGCGTCTCCTGGGTTTATGGGGAGAAGGGAAGAGGCAGGAAGGCTCTCCAGAGCTTTTACGGCTTCCTGGGGCTGCCTGGAGGATCCCAGACATTCCTGCACCTTTTATTACCCAGTCCCCGCAGGAGCTGTGGGTTTGCTTTGCATTTGGCCGGGTTCCCAGCAGGGAAATTGGTTTGTTTACTGTTTATGTTCATGATGGTTTACCCTGGCCGCGGATGAAACCCACGACCCGCGAGGCCGCTTTCATCTCCCTGCTTTGCATCCATTAAATATTCCCGGCTCCATCGCGCCAACTCCACCTCCCAAAGTGGGGATGAGTCAAAATCCCATTTGTTTAGGACTTCTGGCATTTTGGGCACACACTTGGGAGCAGCCCCTGGTGTGGCAGCGGGTTTTAGTTGGAGTCCTGAGTGTGCAATTCCAGCCGTGATAAGTGCCCAGGAGATTTCGGATCGCTGCTCCTTGTAATCTTCCCATGAGCAACATCCCAAAAGCTCTCGGCTGCTGGGAGGAGAAGATGGAGCCACCCAGACAAGCTGGACTGAGGATCACCTTCAGAAGTGGAATTTGGGCGCTTTTCTATCTTCTCTGTGGCTTTGGATGAGTTGGCCTTGCAAACCACAAGCTGCTCTTAGAGTCGATAGATAATTATTGTTATTAAGGAAAGTCAGGGAATCATGGAATGGTTTGGGTGGGAAGGGGCCTTAAAAATCATCTAAACCATGGGCAGAGACACCTTCCACTATCCCAGGGTGCTCCAAGCCCTGTCCAACCTGGCCTTGGGCACTTCCAGGGATAGGGCAGCCACAGCTTCTCTGGACAAACAATGTTTTAACATTTCTGTGCATGCAGTGAGAACTTTGGGAAGGTCTGGTCAGTCTTGAGGGACAGAAGAGTTTCCATCCATCGTGTCATCATTTTGGGTCATCCCAAACTGGGGACATCCAGTGACTGAGTTGATGCAAATTCTTATTTGTATTTCAAGGACAAGGTGGAAGGATTGGAGCTGGTGGGGAAGTTTTGTGGAATCCATCAGGAATCTTGGCCACCCCTTTGAACCCCTGGTCATGTTCAAAGAGTCCTTCCCTGCCCATTTGCTGATCGTCCCCCGTTTGCATGTCTGAGTGGTCCAGGGAAATGTTTGGGGAACTTTGAAGGCTTCTGCTCTTCAGAAGTCTCCAACCAGCGTTTATTTCCCAGGAGATGTTGGGGCAGATACTCCCAGTTCGGGGCTGATTTGCCTGTCTCTGCCTCGGAGATTAAACACCACGAGAGGCTGGAAATGCTCGGCCCTGCCCTCCAGTCTGCTCCGGCATTGTCTGCGATTACTTTTTAATCTGGAAATTGCCTTTGAAAAGGAACTGGAATTGCTGCACGCTGAGGTGATCTGTGAGACGTGCAGATTGGCTTTCAAAGAAGGAAAAAAGGAACAGGAACATTACAAACATCTCTAAATAACTGCTATTAATTTGGGGAACGATTTTGCATAATGGTGCGAAGCCCAGCAGGGGAAAGTAATAATTTAGTGGCAGATGTAAAAGGGTTTGGCGTCTTTGATGACCCCAAAGATGAGCTTGGGCAAGGCTTTGAGCAGCCCCAAATTCCCAGGCATCCTCCAGCTGACCTCAGTCGCTGTCCTGGTTTAATGTAGGGAGAAAACCCAACCTGGAGACTCCTGAGATGAAGGACTTGGACACCCAGTTCCTAAATTGTGTCTCAGATTCCATCATGGGAGCGTGGTGGTTTAATAATAATAAAGGAATAGATCAGATGCTGATCCTCCTTCATGCTCTCTGCTGAGTCAAGAAAATAAAATCTGTTCCCTCAAATAATCCATTTCCCAGTACCTTCGAGAGTGGGGGAGCTTAATCAGTTCTAAATGCCTTCTAACGATTTTATTTCCTTTATTTTTGTGCATCTCCCCCTGTTTGAGAGGAATTTGATGAAACACTGAGGCAGAAATAGGAATTTATGCCCTTCTCAGAGCGAGGTGCGCCAAAAATTTGTGCCCTCCGTGCAGGGGGAAAGGGATTTCACAGGGAAGGTCACTGCACCTTTCCCGATGGTTTAATTCATCCGTGTCATGGTTCCTTGGGATGCAAAACAATTTCCTGAGTAACCCAGATGAATCAGCCTCTGATCAGGAATTAACCGGGCTCGTAAGATTTGAGGATAAAAGAAACCTCTCCGGAGGAATGCATACATTACAGGGAGGAAACGAAATCCAGGCAAGAAACACAAACAGAGAGGAAAAGTAAATCCCCAGCCAGGGGTGCTTTGCATATGAGGAATCGTTAGCAATTGGCTGCTAATGAGCTACACGCACAATTTGTGTCCCAGGTCCTCGGGCTCTCTGGGCCAGGGTATAAAACCAGCCCGGTCGGAGGACCTACAACCACTCCTGGCTTTCTTCTTGGAGAAAAGGGTAAGTCTCGATCTGCTTCCCATTTTCTTTGGATTGTTGCTGTCTTTGTGCTTTATTTTTCTGCTGTTCGTCTTTAGCAGCCCGAGGTCTGCGCTCTTTAGAATTGCTGGGGAAACCTCCAAGCGGCTTTTTCTCCAGGGAGGGACATTCTGTGAAGGGTGGAGATCGTTCCTGTGCTGATCCCGGATTTTTTTCATTTGTGTCGCCCGAATCTTTCTGTTCCAAGAAGTCCCGAGCTCTGCCTGAGCATTGCTCAGCAGCTGGGAGCGGATTTGGGGTATCCGTGCAGAGCTTTTGTCTCTCGGGATGGAATCACAAAATATTCGGGGTTGGAAGGGACCTCTGGAGATCTCCTGGGGCAGGTGACACAGGAAAGCCTCCAAGCGGGTTTGGAATGACTCTGGAGAGAGGGACACTCCTGGGCACGAGGGTCTGAACGTCTCCAGAGCGAGATTCCCTGAACTCCCTTGATCAGACCCATCTGGGCCAAGGCCTCACCGTGAAATTTCTGCTGAGGAGTTTGTTGGGGCTATTTTTTTTTTTTGTTTGGTCTTGGTTGTTTTTTTTTTTTTTTTTTAATTTTAAAATTTTATAATTTTTATTTTTTATTTTTCCCTCTGTTTTGGGGCACAGTTTCTCCTTGCTTTCCTGACCGCCTGCTCCCTCACCTCCCCACTTATTTCAGGGCTGCAGGAGGAGCGTGGTGAGGAAGGGGCCGCTCAGGAGGAGCTGGAGCTGCCCTTTGCAGAGTGTGTGGAGAGCTCTGAGCTTCACTGAAATCCCCTTTCAACCCCAGACCCAACCCCTCCTTCCCTTCCCCACTCACTCCTCGCGCTCTCCATCACCACAGCAGCTTAATTACGCGCCTAATTACACCTCGTTCCTTGCATTCCAGAGCTCCCTGCCTTCCAGACTCTCACCCCACAGCCATGTCCTGCTACGACCTCTGCGCCCCCACCTCCTGCGGCCCCACCCCGCTGGCCAACAGCTGCAACGAGCCCTGTGTCCGGCAGTGCCAGGACTCCACCTACGTGATCCAGCCCTCGCCCGTGGTGGTCACCCTGCCCGGGCCCATCCTCAGCTCCTTCCCCCAGAACACCGCCGTGGGATCCTCGGCGTCCGCGGCCGTCGGGGATGCTCTGAGCGCCGGGGGAGTCCCCATCAACTCGGGCAGCTCCTCGGGGCTCGGCAGTTTGGGGTACTCGGGTTTGGGGGGGCTCTACGGGAGGTCCTACAGGCGCTCCAACCGCTGCGGGCCCTGAGGGAGCCGCGGGAAGGGACGAGCAGGAGATGGAAACGCGATTGGATGCAGGAAAGCGCGATCGGATGCAGGAAAGCGTGATCGGATGCAGGACTGAGCCCGTGCCCACCCGCTTGCTGACCCCCTCAGCTTTGCCCCGAGCTCCCGGCGCTGCAGGAGCTTGGCTTTCCCCAATTGATGCCTTTCTGTGCAATCAGGGAGGTGAAAAATGTCACTCGATTGTCGCTGGGTGTCCAGCTGTAAAGCACTGCCTGGAAATGGGTGATGAATTTTAATCCCTTATCCAACCCTTCTGTATTCAACCCTTCTGCTTTCTTTTGCTGTATTTTTTTTTAAATTCCACTTCTCGCTCATTAAATAGATGGCGCATCACAATTTGTGGTTTGCAATGTTCCTTTTCTCTCTATCTCTTTGGAGCCTTCTCTGGCAGAAATTTGCCTGTGCATTTAAATTGTGAGTACCAAGCAGATCTGCATTTAAGTTACACCACGCTAATCACTGAGGAGTTAGAGAAATATAAACAATGAGTAATATCCTTTTTTGGGGGGGAATGTTTTCCCTTCTGCTCATTTCTGAAAGATCAATATGAAATAATCACTCCTGGTTAGCAAGAAATGGGGGGGAAATGGTGGGAAATCTAAAGCATCTTTACGGACAAAACTTTATTTAATTTATTCCCAGTATCCCATCTAAACCTCCTCTCCATAAATTTGAACACGCTCCCCCTCGTCCTGTCCCTCCAGGCCTTTGGAAATAATTTCTCCCCGTATTTCTTGTCGGCTCCTTGAGACACTGGAAGGTGAAATGAAGTCACCCCGGATTTTCTCTTCCTCAGGCTGAACAAACCCAGGCAGAACTTTCAAAACCCAACGTACACAAAATGAAAACTTAGGTCTCGTCCTTCCCTTGTCGTCCTGCTAGCTTAGGAACGCTGCAATTATGTCTTAATTGTTTGCTAAGCGATGTGGTGATTGAGGGGCCTGGGGTGTCACCAGGAGTCCTCAGAGCAAGAACAATTACTCAGAACCTCGGGGAAGTTAATGACGGGCAAATTGCTAAACAAACATTCCTCAACATCGTGTTAAATACCCCAATTAAACTCCCATTCCACATTTCAAACACGGGGAGAAGGGTAGATCCTGTGATAAGGAACTCTCAGCACGCCGGGGAGTTCTGCTCCCGGAGGAAAAAATAAAGGACAAATAAAAACCAGAGAGGCTTTTGTGCAACACCAACAGGGCTTTAATGTCAGAGAGAAGAGCAACAACCAAGGGCAGAGAATCCAAAAGATCCCAGGGGCAGCAGGGGTTGCAGAATTCGTGCTCTGGGAGCAGGGACCACCTCAGGACCAGGATAAGCCAGGGATGGAGGGGTCCGGGCACAGAGAGGGGATGAAGGGCTCAGGGAATCCCGAGGGGATGGAGGGCTCAGGGAATCCAGAGGGGATGGAGGGCTCAGGGAATCCAGAGGGGATGGAGGGCTCAGGGCGCACCCAGGGCTGCTGGGCACACTCAGCTGCCACTGCCAGCGCCTCCTGCCCTGTGTCCCCATGGCCCGGGCCAGGCTCCCGGGCTGGCGCTGACTCTGGGGCCTGGCACTGCCTGGGGGGCTTTAGAAAACCCCACAGCTCCCGCGGCGGGACCTGCCCCATCTCTGGGAGCCAGGCAGGGAATAGCCCAGGCCCCGTGAGGAGAAGCCGGAGCTGTAGGACCTCCCGCAATTGCCAAAGGAGCCCCCATAGCCCCCAAGGGAGCCCCCATAGCCCCCAAAGGAGCCCCCATAGCCCCCAAAGGAGCCCCCATAGCCAGTGTCACCTCCATAGCCCAGGGAACGGCCGTAGCCAAGGGAGCCCCCATATCCCAGGGAGTCCCCATAGCCCTGGGAGCCCCCATAGCCCCCACAGCTTCCCAGGCCAAAGGAGCCCCCATAGCCCCGGGACCCCCCATATCCAAGGGAGCCCCCATAGCCTGAGAAACCCCCATAGCCCCGGGAGCTCCCATAGCCCCCATAGCCCAGGGAGCCCCCATAACCTCCAGACCCAAAGGAGCCCCTATAACCACGGGAGCCTCCTAAACCAAAGGAGCCCCCATAGCCTTGGGAACCTCCATAAGGTCCCCACCCAAAGGAGCCCCAATTCCCCTGGGAGCCCCCATAACCTCCAGACCCAAAGGAGCCCCCATAGCCAGAGGAGCCCCCCAAGGCCAGGGGGCCCCCATAACCCCCAGATCCTCCCAGCCCAAAGGAGCCCCCGTAGCCCTGGGAGCTGCGGGAACTGAAGGAACGCCCCGGCAAGGCTGGGCCCGACGATCCCACAACGCTCTCCTGGGGGCAGGTGCTGAGCACGGGGCCTGGGATGGTCACCACCACCGGCGGGGGCAGGATCAGGGCTCTGGACTCGGGGCACTGCTGCACACACGGCTCGTTGGAGCTCTCGGCGATGGGCTGGGGGCAGCTGACGCCACAGGACTCGCTGGAGTAGGACATCCTTCTCTGCTGGGAGGCTGCAACGCACAGCAGAAAGGACTTTAAAGCTAAACTGGCTGAGAAGAATCGAAATTAAACTCTGCGTGTGAAATATCAGAGGGAAACAGATACATTCAAAGAAATCTCATTATTGTATTAGCCCTCGTCTCACCATGATCATCCTTGCAAGAAAAATTCTGTGCTGGATAAATTAAACAAACTTGTAGCAACTCAGTCAAAGGTGTATGGCCAGTGAGAAAGAAGCCAAGAGGAAGAGGAAAGAAGCAACATTGACTTTATGCAGTAATTCAGATTTTATGGGGATCAGTGCTGCCGCTTACCTTGTTCGCTGCAGGGATGGGAACAGGAGCAGTGGATGAAGGGCTGTGGGTGATGTGAGCTTTTATATCCTCCTCAAAGCCACTCTCTGAGCCTCCCATCCTCGTTTATTACAAAACCAACGCCACAGTGGGTGCTTCCATTCTGTCACCTCAGCAATGTCCCTCCCAAACTCGCGTGGCTGTGACACAACCGCTGATGGCAATCAGCTCCCTCTGAGGGCGATCCGAGGGGATTTGGGGAACTTGGGGCTGCAGGGTGGTCATGGGGTCATTGGTTAAATCCGGTCCTGCTTGAGTCCAATTTTAATGTCCCGTTAAATTGGGACATTTTAATGGCCACGGTAACCATGGTGTGGAGCCCTTTGTGGTGCCACCTTCACCAGGTGGAGTTCACCCAACTGGACCTAAAATCGTGGCTCTGAGAGGACATGAATTCTCCTGGTAGCTGAGTAGAGACCTGTAAAAGTTGTTCCCAAAGAGGCAGAAATTGGTACAGCCAGAAGAGGCCTCGGCCTTAAGCTAATTCCAAATATTTCATTATTTCATTTGAAATCTCAGCTTCCAGAAGTTCAGTTTGAAATACATTAAAAATCTTAATTTTCTTTCCTCCCAACCCTGAAGTACTGACCACTACAGAAAAAAAAGAATTTAATAAAGTAGTAATAAAATAAAAATATATTGTAGTAATAAAATAAAAATATATTTCATTAGGGTGAGTCTGGGACATCCTGCAGTTATTTATTTTCTTTCCTCTTGCAATTGTTTTCTAATTTTATGACATTGCAAAAGCGAGGCAATAAATTACCTCTAAATTGTAAAATAGCTCTGTTTGTGAAGTGTCATCAGGATTTGCTGATAATAATGAGAGGTACTGGAGGATAATGACTTTAAGCTGCCTCACAAATACTCATTAATAGTCAGTGCTTGCAATTTCTGTTATTATCCCATTAAATGGAGGCTGGGAGTTATGAGGATTTGTTCTGAGTTAGGAGCTCCCTTGTTATGAAACAGCATCATTTAAAAATATCAATCAATGTCACTCCTCTTGATTCCTTAATCAGCATTTGATTAATAATTTCAGTGCTGGCAATGATTTAATTTTCATTCCTGAGGTCAAATTCTTTATTTTATTACCTGTTAACATGTTTGGGATGACTGTGACAAGTACATCATCTGCCATATCAAGTGCAGCTTCTTCTTAATTTATGAGGCAGCATTTTGCTGAAATATCTTAAATTTTAAGGGAGAAATTAAAGCCTGACTGCAAATTATCTGAGTTTTCAGGCTTAACTATCAATGTTCTGCAAAAAAGGGGTCTCAAACTGATGTTCTAAAGTCTCAGTTCTTGGAGTTTCACCTGTAAATATTTTGTCCATGAAATTGTGCCTCATGACACAGAGCGCTCAGCTCACGCGTCTCTGAACTGACGCTCCTGCCCCACTTTTGGGCGCTGACATTTCCGTGTTCGTGCCTAACACACCAAATATGAATTTCCTGTGGGCGCTGACAAAGCCCCTGATGGTCCTGGAAGGATCTGGAACATCCCCCAAGTGTCGCTGCCTCCGTGACATTCCAAAGCCAGCAGGCGACGGAGCAATGGAGCCCAACTTGGAATAGTTGAGTGATTAATGGCATTTGAGCTGCAAACACAGATAAAAACCCCTCACATTCCTAAAGCATTTGGAGATAATTGATATTTTCTTCATTTTTCTTATCCGTCTCCCTCTTTTTGTGCAGCTCCCGTGGATTTTTCACGGGATTCACTTGAATTTTAAAAGACGAAGTTAATTAATCTGAACTCATCGAACCCAAAGACGGCTCTCGTGATGGGGATTATTACCTCATCTTTCACCAGCTCGATGCCCTCAAGTCTGTCCTGACATGGCCTCACGCCCGTTTTTTGCGCGTGGGGAGTGGCAGTGCAAAGCCAGCAGAATTAAATCCCTCCATGTGAGGGTTGTTCTGTGTGGGACCGGAGGCACAGAGGGCGTTTTGTCCTTGTAAGCACTTTGGGAAATGTATAAAAGCTGCCACCACTCCGAGCCTCTCCATCCGCATCTCCTGAGTTATTCACCTTGGTGAACAGGGTAAGTCCGATTTGAGCTCCTCTATCCTTCTCTATCCTTCTATTTCCCCATCCAATTCTTTGATGTTATGGATTGGCAGATTTAAAAATTGTGGGTCTGACAAGGCTGCTGTAGAATAAAATGTGAATTTTCACCATGCCACTTGGAATATCCATTTCCAGGCATTTTAGGTGCAATGCGTGGCCTGTAAAATTTAAAAATATCCGAGTGATCATCTCCACTTTGTGGGAATATAAGGGTAAATATTCTGGTTTGGAAGCTGAGGGCTACTTGGGAAAGGATATGAAATTACAGAAATTGCTGCTTTGTATCTGACAATTCTTAACTTCCTATAGATACATTGCTAGATTTCAGTCAGACTTAATAGATTTATAAAGAGAAAAAAACAGTTTTCTCACAGTGTAAGAAGTGTCACCCAGAGATGACACGAGATGTTTTCATCTGTGTGTGACATCTTGGGGACCTTGACAGCAGCCAGAGTCAAGAATGTGATTTTTGTGGTCAGATGAGGGTCAGATTTGGAAAGCAACAAATTCCGGGCTCTCTCACATTTTCCAAGGCAAAGCACAGGCAGAGTCAGGCAGAAATTTCTGGATCTGAAACCTTTCTCCTGCTGTGCGTTGCAGCCTCCCAGCAGAGAAGGATGTCCTACTCCAGCGAGTCCTGCGGTGTCAGCTGCCCCCGGCCCATCGCCGAGAGCTCCAACGAGCCGTGTGTGCAGCAGTGCCCCGAGTCCAGAGCCCTGATCCTGCCCCCGCCGGTGGTGGTGACCATCCCAGGCCCCGTGCTCAGCACCTTCCCCCAGGAGAGCGTTGTGGGATCGTCGGGCCCAGCCTTGCTGGGGCGTTCCTTCAGTTCCCGCAGCTCCCAGGGCTACGGGGGCTCCTTTGGGCTGGGAGGATCTGGGGGTTACGGGGGCCCCCTGGCCTTGGGGGGCTCCTCTGGCTATGGGGGCTCCTTTGGGTCTGGAGGTTATGGGGGCTCCCTAGGCTATGGGGGCTATGGGAGCTCCCGGGGCTATGGGGGTTTCTCAGGCTATGGGGGCTCCCTTGGATATGGGGGGTCCCAGGGCTATGGGGGCTCCTTTGGCCTGGGAAGCTGTGGGGGCTATGGGGGCTCCCAGGGCTATGGGGACTCCCTGGGATATGGGGGCACCCTTGGCTACGGCCGTTCCCTGGGTTATGGAGGTGACACTGGCTATGGGGGCTCCTTTGGAGGCTATGGGGGCTCCTTTGGGGGCTATGGGGGCTCCCTTGGGGGCTATGGGGGCTCCTTTGGCAATTGCGGGAGGTCCTACAGCTCCGGCTTCTCCTCACGGGGCCTGGGCTATTCCCTGCCTGGCTCCCAGAGATGGGGCAGGTCCCGCCGCGGGAGCTGTGGGGCTTTCTAAAGCCCCCCAGGCAGTGCCAGGCCCCAGAGGCAGCGCCAGCCCGGGAGCCTGGCCCGGGCCATGGGGACACCGGGCAGGAGGCACTGACAGTGGCAGCTGAGTGTGCCCAGCAGCCCTGGGTGTGCCCTGAGCCCTCCATCCCCTCTGGATTCCCTGAGCCCTCCATCCCCTCTGGATTCCCTGAGCCCTCCATCCCCTCTCTGTGCCCGGACCCCTCCATCCCTGGCTTATCCTGGTCCTGAGCTGGTCCCTGCTCCCAGAGCACGAATTCTGCATCCCCTGCTGCCCCTGGGATCGCTTGGATTCCCTGCCCTTGGTTGTTGCTCTTCCCTCTGACATTAAAGCCCTGTTGGTGTTGCACAAAAGTCTCTCTGGTTTTCATTTGTCCTTGTTTTCCTCTGGGGGTATATTCCCTCTTGTACAGAGAGGAGAGGCCTGGAGTTCCTCACTTGGCCAAGGCCCTTGGGTCTTTGTCATTTGGGAAAAGGAGGCAAAGAGACAGGGATTGGATGCAGGAAAACTTTATTGTAGCAAGAAGAGCAGGAGAGGCAGGGAGAGGGAGGGTGGGCAGGCCGGAGGCAGGCCGGGTGTCACGGGCTGCAGGAGGCCAGGGCAGCTTGTGCAGAGCTCAAGGTGTCCATGCTGGGCTGAGGCGGCGTCAGGGCCTTGGGGGCTGTTGCTGGTGGCTCTAGCAGGGCCCGCAGGTGTCCCAGAGCTTCTTGCTGTAGCGGGGCAGGGCACAAGGGCTGCAGGCGGGAGCAGCGTAGGCTCTGCCAAAGGTGCAGAGGCCCCCCGAGGCCTGGGTGGCGCCGGCGCCGTAGAGGCCGCCCAGCCCCAGGGAGCCGCCAAAGGCCGGTGCTCCGGAGGAGCCCACCACGGCCTGCTGGGGGAAGGAGCTGAGGATGGGGCCGGGGAAGGTGACCACCACGGGCGGGGGCTGGATGAAGGCAGAGGAGTCGGGGCACTGGCGGGCGCACAGCTCGTTGCAGCTCTCAGCGATGGGCTGGGGCACAGCCACGCTGGTCCTGGGTGGGCACAGGTCGTAGCAGGACATCTTGGAGTGAGAGAGATGAGGCTGAAAGGGAATTCAGAAAAACACGGGTTAGAACAGACAGGGTGATCTCCCAATTCAGCAGTGGCCTGCTCGCAGACTTGCCACAAACCCTGAGTGACCAAAGTCACACAGCCTTGCCCACCCTGCCCAGCGCTGGCTCTGTGCCCTGCAGCCCCCTGACCCCCACATCCCCAGTCCTCACAATCCCTGACCCAGTCCCTGTGCCCAGCCTGGCTCTGTCTGTCCTGGCCAAGGGGTCATAGCAGGACATCCTCCAGGGCTCAGGGTTGGTTTGCAACAGATAGAGACGTAAAAACTATAAAAACTGAGAAGCTGATGAGAGAAATTTTCAACATGAGTGTAATGACTGTATTGTGATTTATGTTCAGCCTTGATCGTCATGGTCAACACCCACTGAGCACCTCAATAAAAAAAATTCCTGTGTAAAACCATCCCCAGAATGACCAGACCTCATAGGCTGATCTTTGTTTGGCCTCACATGGTTGTGTCGTTCAGCTTTTGGAAATGTCTACCCTGAAGAACAATATAAAAACCCCAATCCCATCTCCCATTAACTTCCCTAAAGTTGGGAAGATCTAGGGACTCCCAAATCTCACATTTCCCACTGGTTTCATTAAGAGTAATTCCAGACAGAAAAGATGTAAAGCTGTTCTAAATGTCAGCATTCCTAAAGGAATCTTTTACAACTGCTCTGGTACAGGGTCTGATTAAATAAATATAAAGAAATTAAAAATTCATACTCACTTAGCTCCTCAAGGCGAATGAGCTGTGAGAAGTGTCTGGATGGACCCAGGCACTGGAGCTTATATAGAGGATCCCAACATTCCAGAGGACTTGGAATCTTGCTTGGACTGGGGGTTCTGCCTGAAATAAATTGTTTACCAGCTTTGAGTCACAAAAGTTTGGAGTTTGTGGCAGTTCTGATTTCATTCACATTCTCCTATCGTGTGATGTCGGAGTTTCACCACCCTGATTACTTTAATCTTGGGTCTTAATTGGTGCTGGCAATACCTGGCATCATTACAGTGACCTCACCTCTAATAGTGAATTACCATGTTCATTAAGCTGACTCCACATGTTGCTTCTTCCTTTACAATCTTGTCATGAGCTTGTCTGCTCCAAGATTTTGTAAGACTCATCTTTGGCTGACATGGACATTTTTCCTTAACAGCCCTTTAAAATTATCTGATAAATTAATTAGAAGCAGAAACCAGCTTATTCCAGAACTACCCAGGAATAAATGTGTTTTCCAGCCCTAACTAAAGAGACCTTGTTGGTCAGAGATGGATTTGAGGGGTCATGAATATCTGCTGAGATCATCCAGGACACTCAGCAATTCCCCAATAATTTTCCATTGAGAGGAAGGCTTGGAATCAATCCCACGTAAAAATCACTTTGTTTAACTAAGAAGGTTTTAGTGGAAAATTAAATTCAGTTTTAAAAGGGTCAATGGTGCTGAATGTTCCCATATCAAGTCCTGTGATTCCAATTTTGAGGAAAAACCAAAGAGGCAGTTCAAGGTTGTTCTTTAATGTCCTGGGTGCAATCTCTTATCAAGAGTGTTCTGGCCCTTCTTGAGAAAAACACTTTGTAATGATTTCACAAACATTCATTATCTGCTGTTCAACCCAGCTAATGTTCGGTGTTGTATGACATGAGTGATTTAGACATTTCACTCTTACACAACCCCAGCTGCTTTAATGTGCAGGAAACAAGGTGGTGCCTGCCATTACTTTAATTAAATCATTATTTGTGCCATTGGAAGTCAAGGGTTAATGATTAATGCAGCTCTTCTTTTCCTTCTTTAAAAAAGAATCCTGTCCATATCTGTGGTTGAATCCTCTGTGAGTTTAAGATTCCACCTTTGCTGTATTTCCCTAATTTCAAGCTATATTTTCCATTAAAAAATAAATATTTGTGTTTTTATACCTTTTTTGGGTGATTTTTCAGAGCACAACTTTTAGGTCTTCACCTGCATCCAGTGCATTTTACAGACCCTTCTTGTAATTCCTGAGAAATCTCCCCAGAAATCTGCTCTGAATTCCTATCCTGAAAACTGGTCGTTGTGGTCCAAATATTGGTTTCACGCAAATATTTTCATTTCCTCTGCAGGTGAAAAAGGATTTGGGTTTAGGTTTGTGTTTTGTTTGTTGCCCCAACAAGTTCCCCTGTATTTTCTGCAGGGGAAGGAAAAAAATTATTCTCCAAGCACAGAAAGGGATTGAGTGGTTCCCACATCTCCCAGCCTGGGGGGGATTTCCTTGCCTTGATTTATATTTTATGAAAATCTGACAGTCAGAGCAAGTTGTGCCTCATCCCTGGCACAAACTCCCTTCAAATCCAAGCCCTTTTGATGGGCTGCATCAAAACCCCTGTGGGCAGCAGGGGAGGGGAGATTCTGCCCTGCTCAGGTGAGACCTCACCTGCAGAGCTGCTCCAGCCCTGGATCCCAGCCCAGGGAGGAGCTGGAGCTGCTGGAGAGAGCCCAGAGGAGGCTCCGGGATGATCTGAGGGATGGAGCAGCTCTGCTGGGAGGAAAGGCTGAGAGAACTGGGATTATTCTGTTGGGAGAAGGGGAAGCTCTGAGGCGACCTCACTGTGGCCTTGCAGGACCTGAAGGAGCTACAAGAAACATGGGGAGAGACAATTCCCATGGGATGGGGTGACAGGAAAAGGGGGAATGTATTCAGAGGGACAGGGAGGAGGTGTAGATGGGATCTGGGGGATAAATTCTTCCCTGAGAGTGTGGGGAGGCCCTGGCACAGGATATTCCATGGCTGTCCCATCCCTGGCAGTGTCCAAGGTCAGGCTGGACAGGGCTTGCAGCAACCTGGGCTGGTGGAAGCTGTGCCTGCCCATGTTAGGGCGTGGAACGAGATGATTTTAAGATCCCTTCCCACCCCAACCATTCCATGATTCTGTGATTACCTCTCTCCACTTTGTATTAAAAACACCACGATTTCAGCATTCTCTGGACTTCAAAATTTATTTGGAAGATTCTTGTGAGGAAAAAAAACCCTCTAAGTGCAGACTTTCTGAGGAACAAGGGTTGCGAGAGCACTTGGGAAGCACTGAGCAATGATCTCTGCTCGCTGTTTTGTAGCCCTTGCATGTCCCAGGGCTGATTAACAGCACCCAAAGCAGGGAGGAGCTGCCAGGCACCTCAGCCCTGATCAGATCGTTCGTAGCCGCTGGGTTTGGCCAGGCCGGGCCCTGCCCTGCCATTACTTTCCCTTTTGTGTCATCCAGGGCAGGCTGCTCCTCTCAGAGTGGCTCCAGCACTCCCAGGCCCTCTCCAGTGGCCCTCCAGACACTTAAACAACCAGAAATGGTCAAGCTGAATAGCTCTGTTATGAGCAGGTAAGGCCTCAAGTGAGTACTCAGCATATTTTAAAATGACTAAAGATGAAAACGCAAAAGTTCGATGCATAAAAGATTTATTGCAGGAACAACTTGAATAAATCACAGAGAGTACAAAAGAAACCATCGGAAAAGGAGAGGTACAAAGACAATTGAAAAAATAAAGATAAATCTATTAAGTCATTCAGTTGTCAAGAAGCAGAGCTGAATAAATGCAAATATGACATGAGGTTGACATAGACAATAAAGGTCAAAGATAGGTAAAGAACAATGAAATTTTTATACATAATAAATTCACAAAAGACATCATTAGAGATTAGACCTTCACACGGGAGACAAAGTAAAATACTAAACATAGGAAAAGACAACTTTAAAAGGAAACAGTAATGGCGGAAAAATGGAGATTAACAACTTCTAGATTCTTCCATTGCTGACAGATAAAAAAGAGGCCGGGATGAGTCTAGCAGGGCCCGCAGGTGTCCCAGAGCTTCTTGCTGTAGCGGGGCAGGGCGCAAGGGCTGCAGGCGGGAGCAGTGTAGGCTCTGCCAAAGGTGCAGAGGCCCCC